TCCTTAAGGTAATGCAGGATTTTATACCATCAACAGTATTGCAGGCGGCGGCAGCTAGCGCAACTAGACAACCTTTGTAATCGCGGCGTGATCCTGAAAGTCCTCGACGAGACTGATGGAACACCCATCATGCTAACAACCCCATAAACGTTCAACCGCACATGCGACAGTCCCGATAAACGTTTGTAAACACAAAACGAAACGCCTAAACCCTAGAAGCATCTAATGGTCCCTTGGCTCCCTTACAGCAAGGCGTTTCAGAGTTTCCGAATGTTAAACCCCTTTCGGGTTCAAATTTGGGTGTTTTAATTTTTGGATCCACCAATGGTCCCCTCAGGGGCTCATTTCGGAAACCACCGAAATTCAAGAATTGCCACTTGAGAAATGAAGTGAGAGCCAGGAAGGTGCTCCAGGCCAGGGCAATCGTGGATGAAATCCTCCTATAGTCTCCATTGTAGTTCCTTGTTTGGGTTGCCTTATAGGATCCTGAATATATAATTGATTAAACCAAAAGAAGGAACTACAATGAAGACGATAGGTTTGCCACTTGTGCACAACCTTCAGGAAAACGGTATGTAGCACAGGAGTGATAGCTCTGAAGCAGCAAACACCCGATTGTTGCAACTAGTTCCCGTCTCAAAGCCATCTAAACCCTAAGCCCTGAACCCTAATATAGGGGCCTTAATAATTAGAAGGGCCCAGATAATCAGAACCCGCAAAAGTGTATAGGTAACTTTTTAAGGTCTCCGTATTAAACCGTATGCTCCGACCCGTAACGATCTCTTCACCAACCCTTGAAAAGACTCGCTTCGGGTTTAGGGCTCAGCATGATTACTGTTACTTATAGGGTTTGCTACAGTCTAGGTTCCTGAGTGACTCCCAAATAATAAGGGTACCCTTTTTCTTAGAATTGAGTTTTAATAAGGGGGCGCCAACATAAAAAGGGCAAAAGGGTACTACTCAGGAACCTAGAAGTGTTCGATAACGAGGGTCCTGAAACTAGACCTAAGAGTAACCTAGGGATAAAAAGGGTGCCCTTTTTGGCTTAAAGGCGGTGAAAAGGGAACCTGAACCCCCAAAAAAGGGAATAAGGGCCTACTCTGGGTCCTAGAAGATATCATTTTGGGGTCCTTATAGTAGGGATCCTATTATTTAAGGTACTATATTAGGGTCCCCTCTTTTCGGAAACTCCCAAAATAGGAGTTTCGCAGGTCTTGGGCTGAAGATTTGGGAAAGGGGGGATGCTACTTGGAGGATCATGGGACTTAGTAAGTAAGGTTATAAGTACCCTAATTGGGATTATAAGTTTTGTTATCCTAATTATAACCCTAGTTACTAAGTCCCATGATCCTTTAAGTATACTGTTTAGTGACCATAAGGATTATATAGGATTATATTAGGGCCCTATTATATTCCTCTTATACCACTATTACAGGGTGGGACCAGCTTCTAAGGGATGCTATACTTTTGTCTAGAGGGGTGACTAAGAAGATATGCCGGGATGCCCAGTAACCTAGGAAATAAAAAAGGGCTCCCTTTTAGGTATTGGGTAACTTGATAAGGAACCTAGGACTGCAAAAAGGGAATAAGGGTATTACTGGGCATCCTAGTATGATTGCCAATTCTTCCGACCTCTGAAATGTGCACAACGGCGGACTTCACATCGCATTCCAAGCCGGGCTCCTGATGCCGCTTGCCAGACATCACGACACATCTTGGGGTTCTTCGGGGGGTTACTCGCCAATACGTTCAATCCGACATTTCGTAGAAATGGATCCAGCGGGGAACCCATACAGATGTTGCATATGGGAGTTTCCGAAAATAGGGGACCTCCCTTGGTATAGTACCCTAAATAGTAGGATCCTTATTATGAGGACCCCAAAATAAGGTACCCCTAATTTTCGGAAACTCCCATATCAAGTTGGGACTCCAGGTCAAGTAGCTTGTCTGGATTTCTTACGAATCGTGGTATGTGGTGTTTGGATCCTGATGGCTGTGGAGGGTGTGCTTAGTGCTTTTGCAGAACGTGTATGGGGCCTCTTCTGTTTAGGGCTACCGATTTTGGGCGTCGTTAGAAAACGCATCTCATCGGGTCTATACCAGGGTGCTGTGTCCTGTAAGACCCCGCATTGCCCCCATGACATGTACCCTAAGAGGGGCTTGCGATTCAATTACACTGCCGATAGACTTCAGCAGTGTTCTCTACATGTGCCCCCACCCTCTTTGACGTAATATCGGGGCCTCTAGAATAAGGTTTTGGTGCCCACCATACTATACTCATAATATTAGGATGTCCTTAAGGGGGGGTGGTCCAAGGGGGGTAGGTAACCTAGTAATCCCCATTATTCCCCAATACTCCCTAAGCTTCCCTAAGGTTCCCCAAAGCTCCCTAGTACCCTCCCCCCTTGAACCACCCCCCCTTAAGGATCCTATAATAATAAGGAGCCCACTAAGGCCCAAGAAATCGTACAGATTTCAGTTACTCCGCTAGCCAGCGTAGGGGAAACGAGACTTTGCACTCCGCCTCCCCGTCTTGAGAGTCCTTTGGGCCTTTGGTTTTAAGGTTTAGGGTTAGGCGTTCTGGGTTAGGGCTTTAGGGTTCAGGGTTTGGGCTGTATAGGCTTTCCTCCCATCGGCTCTTAGCTGAAACACATAAGATTTTGGATTTGCGGGTCCCGCGGTAACCCCGTTAATCCTGAGGGCATCAAATTTCGTACTGGTCAGCCTTCGTCACGGAACTTAAACAAAAAAGCAGTTGGAATAATCACAAAAGACTGAGGGGACTACTCGGGGACCCAGTGTTTAGGAATTCGCCAGCAGCTTGGTCTCAACTGCGGTTCAAGGTTTAGGGCTCTAGGGTTTCGGGTTTTGTCGTTTAGGATGATGTGAAAAGCACCCTCTTCAATGTAAGCCGTAATGTGCAGATAGCAGCGGGGGCCTGTGTCTCAGACCTGGCCACAACTTTGCCGCTCTGAGCCAAGACCCTAGATGCTCTTTACATGGGTGGTTGTCAAAATTATGGTCCCTTTTGGGGTCCTTATTATAATACGGCATCTAATATTTAGGCTACCCAAAAAGGGACCATAATTTTGATAACTACCCACATGGAGCCCAATAGTATGCTTGGTAAACCCCCCGTGTAATCACAGGCACCACCCTGGACTGGTTTAGATAGCTTTGACGCCTGGGAGTTCCTTATTCGCGCACCGTCACCGCACGGGGGATGGACCCAACTCTTTGCACAGAAAGCCCCCTGTGTGCTCTCAGACTAGACATTCCGAGGGCGAAAGACTTAAAGAGATTTACAGAGGCACTGGGGTCGCCGCTGTTGCAGTCGGCACAACAGCTGCAAACAGCTCTGTGAAGAGGCAGGTAAAGTCTCCACAACAATTTTCAAAAACACTAGAAAGACTTCGTACGCACACGCTTCCAGTCTGGACCACACTACTACGGCATACCTGGACCGATAATATCGGGATCGTTCTAGTTACTACTAGTCGCTTTAATTAAATGGTCCTCACACATTATTCCAAAACCCTGTTCCAGGTATTTAAGCCCTTATTAACTCACTTCCCCAAAAATCCCCAAGGCCTACAAGTTCAAACTTTCAGAATAAGACTAGCTCATAAGAGCCCAAAACTTACCTTTGGTTTGGTAGTAATAGTAGTTATAATTGTACCCCATTCCTCCATTCCCTACTAACCAAAGGTAAGAAAAGTTAAAACGTTGGGTTTTGGACCGATGAGTAAAGCGAAGAACCGAGCTCGCTTGAACCCAAAGCCAAGGCCGCGCCGGAGTTCTCGAAAGCCTAAACCCTACACCCCAAAACTAGGGTTTAGGGTTTAGGGGTTTAAGGTTTAGGGTTTAGGGTGCATAATTCTTATAATAGGGTGTTGCGGGGATCTTGTAGAAACAGTATATGGGGAAATTTATCGGGAGACTGGGATAATCATGCGTTTTTATTTCGACTCCTATTCCTTGAACCCTGGAAGTGTGCCGCAGCTCGTGCTGAAACGCAGTTCTTCAAACAAACGGTGACCCAGACCCCCGGGAGGGTCTTTATCCCCTAATTTAGGGCCCTGGCCCTATACTACTAAAGTACCCCATTAAGGGATCTCCTTGTATCCTCCAAAGGGGGTCTGGGGAATTGAACACCTCGGGTCTGCGGACACCGTGGCCGCCTCGAAAAGACGCACACCACATTTGGGAGTTTCCGAAAATTTGGGGTACCTTAGGGTCCCTTCACAGGGTTACTATAAGGGTTCCTTTAAAGGGATCTATAAGGGATTTATAGGGTTCAGGGGTTTAGGGTTATGGGAGTTTCCGAAAATTAGGGGGTACCTTAAACATTTGCGCAGGGACCATGAAGGGGGGTGATAATGGGTTTAGGGCCGCGCCCCGTACGTTAACTCATCCCACTCATGGTCAGAGACTTTTCATGCAGGGCCAGTGACCACAGTAGGCCGAATTTGGAAACACTGACAGCTCTGCAAACAAGGACAAGGATGATGTTCTGCTCGAAAGCGTATAACCCTCCATTGCAAATGGCTCTGAATGAACAAGTACCTTAAAGTACCAAACCATACTTTTTTGTAGGTTCTTCTTACAAACCCTACTGTAATACAGAACGTATAGGGACCCTACAAAAAGTAGGTTTTGGCAATCCTAAACACCATTCATAGAAACCCCTCAACCCGAACACTGACACACCGAACTCACGAAACCTTCAAACCTCCTAACTCCTAACAGTAGCCCTAAACAAAATAGTTCCATGGAACTTTCAAAGCCTCATTCATCAATTAAAACAGTATAGAACCCTTTACGATTAATAGTATTATTGTTAGTATTATCACTACTAGTATTCATGCTAATAATGTTGTTATTACTCTTGTTATTTTACGATTACTACCTTTACTACTATGATTACTATTAGTACGATAAGTACGATTATTCCAGGACATCACCGGCGCCCTGCGCTGAGCTTCTGCCTGAACGGCAGCTCATTCAGCCCGCCGCCTGCCCCCATGCAGGTCTTACTTGGAAGGGCAGGGGACTTAGTAAGTAGGAAATAAGTAGGGTTGTGATTGGTATAACTCCATTTAGGGTACTTATAACTCTATTTAAAACCTACTTACTAAGTCCCCATGCAGGTCTTAGGAGGTCTGATATAGGGTATTGGGTTTAGGTTTAGGGTTTAGGGTCTAGGGGTTTAAGGTTTAGGGTATAGGGTTTAAGGTTTAGGGTATAGGGTTTAGGGGTTCAGGGTTTAGGATATTTCAACAGTTGCCTGGGGTTCAGTTCCAAAGGTTCCGACGAAGTGTTGGGCGGCGAAACTCCGGCTTTTCGTGGGCTGTGTAGGTAGCTTCTGCCCTGCATTAACCCCTTCTGTGTAGCTACAAACGGTTTAGGGTTTAGGGTTTAGATTCTACCCAGCCCTTGTAAGAAAACAATAACCACCTTCTCAGTCATCGAAAGAGAGATCAAATGCAGGTGTTTGCTGCTAGCATGCCGCAAGAAGGCGCACTCATCAACCTAAACCCCTGCTCAAAGCACTCTCATGAACCCTACTCACGCCAAACCCTCAGCCCTGAACCCGCCGGCCCCCCATGCAAGAACAAAGAAAAAGCGAATAAGAACAAACGTTTGAAAAGGATATGGTATCTGAAAAAGGCACTCCAGCTTTCCGTGAAACTTCAGAAACTCACGGAAGCGCCAGTAACAATTTTTAGTCTGGTCGTTCGAAGCTGGTTTTGCGGCTAAATGTTTAGGACCTATGTCGTGGGTTTACGCAAACACAGCTAATGAAGCTGCGGAAGTCCCCAATAACCTGTGAAAAAAGGCTGATCTTTTCCTGCTGCTTAGTCTTAGTAAGGAGACCCCAGTCCATAATCGTGCACAGCTCAAAGAATCAAAGCACTGGAACAGCTAAAGCTGAGACAACCCAAACTCTAAACCCTAAACCCCAAGCCCTAAACCCTGAGACAAGCCTGTTGCGGACAATGCCACTGAAAGTCTTGGGTGCGAGTTCCACATCCTGCAGGGCTGCGTTTGGACGGATTCATGGTGGTTCAGGGTATATAGGCTTGGGGATGAGGGTACTACTGTTGATGATATAAATCCTGCATCACCCATGATAAGGATTATGCCATAGTTCCCATAGTTTAGGGCCCTCAAGGTAATGCAGGATTTATACCATCAACCGTACTAGCCCTAAAACTCTGAACTCTTGATCCGAGAGTTAATCGTGAACCATCGACTTCGAAGACCTAGTGTAGCTTACCCCCTCAATAAGCCACAGAAATAAACGGTTACACTTTCCGGTTCCTACTAAACTATAAGAACCCAAAACGTTTAAACATGTGGTATTGGGGATCTAAGGTAGAGACAACCTAGAATATATCCTGTATAGAAACCCTAGACGAACTGATGAAAGGACCCTGCAAACCTCTGCAGCACACCGAAAAATCCCAGTGGCTCCTCTCCCCAAACCTTAAACCCAACCATCTGAAACCCCAAACCCAAAGCCCCACGTTAGGCACTATGTAGAACCCTGATTCATAAACCTCCGCCACTTAACAAGGACTACAATGGGAATCCTAGTGCTGTGCCTTCGAACAAACAGGGTTTGTTGATCAAGGGGCTGCATGAACGTGGCGTGTCGACTCTGGCACGGCTCTTTAGAAGGGTTTCGTAAGTGTGTTACATGTAAGCGTTTCAAGGTCCTTATACTATGAGCCCGCGCTACCACTCAGGGCTCATATTGGGGCGCCTCAGTCTCTGAAACTTTCATCTACTTCCTTCAACCCTCAACCCTACACAATGAAGCAATATTTTCATGAAGACTATCGAGGTTATCGTTGCCAAATACTCACACCTCAAAACCACTCCCCAACTGCCAAAGAAAGATTTACAGTAAGCCTTGTAATTAGACGTGTTAAAGCCCTTTGTAGCAACCCCTGCAGAGCCCTACTTATCATATAAAATCCAACTGTGTCCAAGCCCCTCCTGCAGGAAGCGATTCATTTTGCGGACCTCGGCGAGTCACAGGAGAGGGCTTGGGGTTCGGGTTTCTTTAGCTTGGGGTTTGAGGTTTGGGGGTTTCGGCTTTAGGCTTTGCCTTTAGGGACCCTCAACCGCTAGGGGGACTTGGTAGGAGGGGCTTAGGTTCCAGGGTTTAGGGGATTGGGGGTTTGGGGTTTAGGGTTTAGGGTTTAGGGGTTTCGGGGTTGGGGGGCTTAGGATTTAGCGTAAATGTCCAAGGCCTTCAAAGGATTTCAGCTGCGAAATTGTACAAGAGCATACAAAGACGGCAATGGCGAGAATACTACAGGTTATAGTCACAAAAGCATGTATTTTTATGTATATATGTATATGTATGTGTATATATGTATATGTGGAATAACTTATGTGTGCATATATATATATATATATATATATATATATAAATACACACACATGCGTGTGGATACATATATATATATATATATATGGGTACCCATCTGGGGTCCTAAAGCCTTGAACTGAACTTAGGGTTCAAGGTTTAGGGCTGTGTGGTTCAAGGTTTGGGGTTTATGGGGTTTCGGGTTAGGGTTGTGGGGTTTAGGGTTTAGGGCTTTAGGGTCTAGGGTGTAGGGTTTTAGGGTTTAGGGTTTAGGGTTTCCGGTCAGCCCTGTATCCGAAAGTAGCAGAATGAAAAGGCAACGGCAAACGATTGCGGCTTGTTCTCTTCCCTGTATCCACCGCATACTACCAAACCAACTTCAGACCGTAAACCCTGAACCCTCGTTGCAGGCTGAGTGAATACTCATGCTTCGCTCGCGATAGCAGGATCTCCGCTATGCAGAACACCGTTCTAAAAGTCGTCAAGCTGAGACAGACCATGAAAAAATCCAGCAGAGTCTCAGAGAACAGGGATTTCTGATATAGAACCCTAAACACCACGATCCCTATCATAAAGGCCCCTGGGCAACGCACCCCAGTTCTTCTACGAAAAGCCGAGGGCTAAAAGCCAAAGCGGCGTGACGCTCATGAAGCCTGCGATCCGGTTGGATGACAGTTCCTGGATCCACGCTTTAGGGTCAAGGATTTAGGGTTTAGGGTTTAAGGTTCAGGGTTTAGGGTTTGGTGTTTAAGGTTTTAGGGTATAGGATTTAGGGTTCTGGGGTTTAGGGGCAGGATTAACGACAGCAGGGGGTCATGGCCTTCCGATATTTTGGGAGATGGAGCTTTTTAGCTCCCCTTATTATGTGATTGGGTTTTTTATGTAATATTCTCTATTAGGCTATCGATACGTAAAGATTAGGGATCGATTTTAAAATTTGTCATTCTACAATTTGCAGTCAACTAGACAAGATCAGAATATGCCGTCCTTTTCGTAGTGTTTGGATATTTCAGATTTGATTTTGTGATATTTGCAGATTTAGGACCTGCTTTGCGATCTTTCAAAAGCTTTCTCCCCAAATTTTAGGTTTGAATTTTTGATCTTTTCGGAATTAGGGCTTAATAACCAATCATGTATTGAAATATGTGCTTCCCAATGTTATCTTACACCGTTCGGCATATTAATATAGAACTTCGGATTTCCTTCTTAAACTCATCATCTAATCACCTAGTATTTGAAACCTTTTAGCATTTAGACTTCACGATCCAAGATAGAAGTTGCGAGAAAAGATTCAAGATCAGGATCTTTCAGAATCTAGCGTCCAGGATTCAGGGCTAATGGCGCAAAACCCTAGGCCGTAAACTGTCAGGATCTAAGGCCTAGCGTCTAGGGCCTATACTTAGAGGGCCCAGCGGACTTAGTAAGTAGGTTATAAGTAGGGTAATAAGTACCCTAAATGGAGTTACCACAACTAAGACCCTACTTATAACCTATTTACCAAGTCCTTTGGGCCTCCAAGTAGACCCTAAACCCTAAACCCCATAGATCTCTTTAAGGAGCCCCATAGATCCCTTTCAGGAGCCCTGTAAGAACCCTTACTAAGTCCCCTGGGCCTCCACGTAGGGTTTAGGGTTCAGGCAGGGCGGAAGCTGAGAGTCTTGGGTGCATCAAAAGACTCTCTTCCTTACCCTTTTTGCAGCTCCTCGAATGTTTGAAGCGCTGATACTATGCTACCATGGGTTTAGAGGTTTATGGGGTTTAGGGTTGGGGTTCAGAGGCTTCAATAAGCAGAATGGGGCTTGTTGCTACATTTTCTTATTTAGGAGTCATCGTCTTGGTAACTGGTTCGGGGGATCGCTCTCCCGCTTGCCGCAGTGATCCTCCTCCTCCGGATCTCCACCCCGCAACATGTTCGTCGAAAGTGACGGAGCTTCTGGTCGGCACTCATAAGCTCAATGCCGTGATCAAGAAAGTCTGGAGGCCCAGGGGACTTAGTAAGTAGGTTATAAGTAGGGTTATAGTTGGGGTAACTCTATGTAGGGTGCTTATAAACCTACTTACAAGCTGCTTACTAAGTCTCCTGGGCCTCTAAGTATGCATACAGAGCCTGCACCTTGCGTGCCGGCGAAACCAGGAGATTCGGGCCGAGCTGTGGCGGTCAGCGTCACGGGACAGGTCCTTGACAGGCCCAAACTCCGGCAGTGCTGGCTCCTCGGTCGGTTGAGCCGGGGCGATGTTCTGAGCAGGCTGCCCGAATCAGCAGTAATCTGGTGAGAAATCCTGTGGCTACTATTATGTCAGCTTGTGTTATGGTCATGCTGTTGCTAGTGTTATTCTGTTCGTCCTCGTAGCGCTATCCTCACTATCAGCTTTGCATTAAAAAGGAAGCCTAAAACGAAAACCCAACCCAGAACCATAACAAGTCTTACGTTGACATCGGCCTAGAGGGGAGTAAGAAGTTGCTTTGAAGGTTGACTAGGATACCCAGTAACCTAAGAACAAAAAGGCCTCTCTTTTTGGTATTGGGTAACTTTGTAAGGAACCTAGGACTACAAAAAGGGAATAAGGGTACTACTGGGCATCCTAATAAACCTTACACCGAAGTTAAGTTAAGGGTTTAAACCCTTAAGCCCTACCTAAAGTCTCCATTGTAGTTCCTTTTTAGGGTTACCTTTTAGGATCCTTAATATAAAGTTGATACTAAAAGGCTCGCCCCTCGTTTCCTGTGGTTCCCCGAGCCGAACCAAGCCCAGCCACGCTGAGCCCAGCAAAGCCAAGCCGAGCCAAGCCAAAAATAAAAAAAAAACGGGGCCCTGAAAACCTCTCGACCAAAACAACCCAAAACGCTCAAACCGTAATTAGCCCCAAAAACCCTAAACCCCGAAACCTAGAACACCAAACCCAGAAACCTCATGTATACTCCTGCAAAACTAACCTTATCGCATTTCACAAATTCGTCGCGAAGCTCCATGCTACATCCCTCCCCAAACCCCAAAACCCTAAACCAAAACAAAAGCCAAAACAAAATCCTTCGACCCCACGTCCCCGGCCGCCTGCAGGCAGATCACGCCGCCAGGATGCACTGTCCCAGGATGAGTTGACCTCGGCGGTTCTTATGCCGAAAAGGGTTTAGGGTTTGGGGGTTAGGGGTTTAAGGCTTCAGGGGTTTAGGGTTTTAGGTTTTAGGGCATTAGGTTTTAAGGTTTTAGGTTTTAAGGTTTTCAGGGTTTAGGGTTCGGGGGTCGGGGTTCGGGGTTGAGGCTTGAGGGCGTCGGGTTTCGGGTCTAGGGCTCACGCAGCCCGGGCTGCAAGGTTAAAGCGTCTCGTGGGTGCTAGGAGTGCTTGGTTTCGGAGTTTTAGGGAGTCTGGGGGGGTCAAGGGCTTATACGGTTTTATGGGATGGTTTCGTTGGGGTCCCTAAATCCTAAACCCTAAACCCCAAACCCTAAACCCTAAACCGTTTTTACGGTTTCGGAAGGGCTCTTATGGTGTGGTATTACGAGCGAGCGGTTGGTGGACTTAGGGCCGTTTAGAAGTTTCATGTACGGCTTAGGGTTCTACGGTTTAGAGCTTCGGGCTTGAGGGCTGTACTCCTATAGGGTTTGAAAAGGGGGGCTACAGCTGGTTGTCCATGGCTTGTAGCTTTCGGGCTCTGGGCTTCGAGACTGCTGAGTCAGATCTTCCTGGGCTTCTTGGAACGGTTTAGGGTTTAGGGTTTAGGGTTTTAGGGTTTAGGGTTTAGGGTTTAGGGTTTTAGGGTTTTAGGGTTTAGGGTTTAGGGTTTAGGGTACCGGGGATCATGGAGCGAACTGCATTGCTCATGTCCATGCAGGCATGGAAAATGAATACTATCCGGGCTTAGCAGTAATTAGAACAGGATTTCTGAGGTATGTTGCACTGCAACGACAGCAAGGTTCCCTAAGGAGTAGCATTGGTAGCCATTCCGACCCCAATATTCGCACTTCTCGCAACTGTGATACCTTGCTTTCAGTTAAGGGCGTACGTTAGTTTTGGGTGGAAGGCGTGGGGCTTCAGGTTAAGGATTTACCATTGGAAGGGTTCTCAGGGCACTACTGGGTTCTCGTTGAGGCATGTCATTTAAGTTACCATAATAAAGCAACCGTACTGTTTACTGTAGATCCCTATACCCTAAACCCTAAACCTTCAACCCTAAACCCGAAACCCTAAACCCTAAACCTTCAACCCTAAACCCTAAACCTTCAACCCTAAACCCTAAACCCGAATTACGGTAACTTACATTTAACTCCTTAACAAGAACCCCAGTCTTGGCATGGCTTGGGGCTTGAAGGTTTTTGGCTTAGGAACTCCTAAACCCTCAACTTCGCCCTTCTTGCACCTAAGACTGGCCCTAAACCCGAAACCCTACCAGGACCCCCTAAATCCATGGGTTTAGGGTTTAGGCTTTACACACCCCTTCACTCAAAAAACCCTAAAACCCAAAACCGAAAATCCGAAACCAGAAAGCCCTAAACCCTAAACCCACAAAAGTCCAGTACTTGGCGGCCCAGGGGACGTAGTAAGTAGGTTATAACAGGTAGGGTTATAAGCACCGTAACTGGAGTTACCCTACTTATAACCTACTTACTAAGCCCCCTGGGCCTCCAAGTAGGGTTTCAAACTGTGGAGGCAAGGCGCAGTGTCCACGGTAGAGGCGGTCTCGCAGGCGGTTCGGAGAAGGTTTGTTAGTTGCATTTAAACGTGATAATAGACTATAATATAAGATCATATACCATAAAAGCATACCATAAAGCACGATAATATACTATCATGTACAACAATGCCCTTTCAGTGTATGAAAAAACGTGATCTACAATCATATACTTTAACCGACCTAGCATCTCAAGATGAAGACAGTCCCGAGAACCTCATTCTTCGATTGCTGACTGCTCGACTGCCGTCGGGGTTTAAGCTTTAGGGTTTAGGGTTTAAGGTTTAGGGTTTGGGGCTTAGCTTTAAGGTTTAGGGCTTAAGGTTAAGGAACCCTGGCCCGATAACCCCAAAGTAAAAGGGTTCATGTAGAAAGACCCAGGCTTTCTTGATCAGGTTCCTAGATTAGACAGATCCTTTTGAGGAGCTTCAAACAATCACTGGCCTGCAGGATTCACTGCTCTGGACTTTGAAGCAACCAGGGGAAAAAGGTATAGACTTTCATTTTCATATTTGGTTTCCTTTTAAGTACCACTAAACCCTAAACCCTAAACCCTAAACCGTAAAGTATAGACTTTAATTTCATATTTGGTTTCCTTTTAAGTACCAGGCCCCCAAAAAAGAAAGTAGGGTACTCCAAGGCCCAGTATTACTCCACCCGACCATGGAAGCAAGCCCTGCTCAGTTTCAGGAATGTGCCCTAACTGAGGGACCCAGTTGCTCCAATATCCTTTAACTAAGGAATATTCCTTCAATCATAGTAGGATCCCTAATATGATTTAAGGTATATTCCTTAAACTAGGATACCCAGTAAACTAAGAACAAAAAGGCCTCTCTTTTTGGTATTGGGTAACTTTATAAGGAACCTAGGACTACAAAAAAGAATAAGGGTACTACTGGGCATCCTGGTAAACAAGGGATATTGGAGTCTCTGGGGAGATTGGGCTCCCGGTGACAATCAACCCCAAAGAGACATGCGAACATGTAACCAAAGAGCAAAAACTCATTTAACCCCTTATGAAACTTATGAAACCCTTGCAAAGACTAAAGCCCAGACAACAACGATAGCCTGAACCAAACCGGAACCTAAAACCCCACTATCGAATCATTGTGAACTCTCACAAGGCCGTTTATCCTAAACCTTAAACGCGGACGCCCCACACTTAGAGGCTTCCCGGTGAGCCTGCTACTCCTTGCCCGAGGGTTTAGAATTTAGGGCTTGCTTAGGGGGATTGGTGGTCTATAGGGTTGAGGGCTCAGGAGGCCTTTACATTATGATCTACAGCATGTGCCCTACTTCGGTGGTATTGCTGGCTGGCAAAGGAATCCGACGTGTCTTTGGCGTTCGGTGTTTAGGGTTTAGGCATGGAGTTGTAGGGTTCAGGATTTAGGCTTAGGGTCGGTCGAGATGTCAGCGTCCAGGAATTGAGGTTGAGTGTTCACGGCTTAAGATTTACGGTTTAGGGTTTAGGGTGCAAGGTTTAGGGTTTAGGGCTTGAGCCACTGATACAACCTCTCAATTCTATACCCCCCTTAGAACCATAATAAGAATAATACGTTCAAGATTCTCTTGGGTGTTGTATGAACAAACATAACAACAACCCTAAGGAGACTATAGAATCATCTGAAACCACTGGCGGAGCCTCCTTACTTTGGCTCGTCGCACGGACGAAGTCTCCATCTGGGAAGTTGATGATGGCCTGGAGCAGGCCGCAGGTTTCAGGCTCAAGTCTACCCCTAAGGTGAATCTAATCTACTCTAGTAGACTATAGTAGATTGTCAAATGTTATAGTAGATTATAGTATCTTTGCTTTTTTGGTTCCAAGTGCCCATTATCAAATAGTAACCTACATAACTACTATCCTCAAGCTAAGTACCTAATGGTTGGGTCCTTTAGACCCTTAGGGCTAGAGTTTAAGGGCTTCGGGTTTGGGGGCTTGGTGTTTAGGATGCGGGGTTAAGGGGCTTAGTATGTTTTGTGATTTTTTTGGGTGGTGGTGGCGCCTTTTACCGCATATCAGGAATTCTTCAGGATTGCTTATATAGGTGGGCTTAGGGTTTAGAGTGTAAGGCCTGGGGGTGACGAACTCAAGCCTGATTTCTACATCCCCAAACCCCGGACGGTTTAGGGTTTAGGGTATGAAACCAAACACCTTGAAGCAACAAGGCTCCCTCTGCAGTTTGAGATATATTTGACCCTCATAAAAGGAGCCCACATAACGCACTACATAAGCATAGCTATGCGTTTACACCTGCGTATACATGAATGCATGCACATGCGTATTATAGATGTGTATATGTACGTATGCACGCATCCATGATGATGTGTACATGTGTATATACACAGATATGTGCATGTACATAGGTCTGTACATATGTAGACGGATAACCAGACAGATAGGTAGATACTTAGATAAATACACACACATACACAGGTAAATATATACATATATACATATATACATATATGTTATGTATGTACATATGTGTCATGTATGAATATCTAGAATATATACTGGGCTCCCTGGACGTTGCCTCGAAATCGCCCCCAAGCCCCAAACCCCCAAACCCCCAAACCCTGAGACACAAAACCCAACAGCCCTAAACCAGAAAACCCTGGACAAACTCGAAACCCTGAAACCCAAGACCGAAAATCCTAAACCAGAAAACCCTAATGTAGGAACCTGAGTATGAAGCCCTGGGCCTTTGCTACTATTTTGGGGTTCTTGGCCCGGGGTTTCTTAAACCCTAAGCCCTAAACTTGCCCTAAACCCCAATACAGATTAGGATGTCCTTAAGGGGGGGTGGTCCAAGGGGGGTAGGTAACCTAGTAATCCCCATTATTCCCCAATACTCCCTAAGCTTCCCTAAGGTTCCCCAAAGCTCCCTAGTACCCTCCACCCTTGAACCACCCCCCCTTAAGGATCCTATAGATACAGGAAGCCTAGCCTCGAAATCGTCCTCATCCTCGATCAGCGGACGGTTTGCCTCTTTCTGGTTCCCCTTGCCGTCAACGCGGTGAGCTCCCTGGATTGCTACACAATGGCGTGAGTTGGTTTAGAGTTTATGCTTTGGGGGTTGGGGGTTTGGGGGCTTGGGGCTTTAGGGTTTAGCAGAATAAGGGTTTTAGGGTATGTTATACTGTAACACGAGGTTTTGTGATCCAAAATATCTGCAATAGTGCTGCAAAAAAGGCTTCAGGCGGCTATAAGGGTCTTGGGGTTTAGGGTTCAGGGCTCCATGATAAGGGTCGCAGGGTTTAGGGTTCTTTAACGAAGGCTCTGCAATTTAAAATAAGCGCTTTGGCGTAAAAGAACCCCAGACATGCCTGCTTCTGGATCGCACAAAGGAGGTCAGGAGGCGATGGAGGGTGGTCCTCCTCGGCCGGGCAAGGGACGGCTGCTTCAGAGGAAGGGGGGAGGGAGGGTAAGGGTTTAGGGTTTAGGGTTTAGGGTTGTTTAGGGCTTCGGGGTGTAGGGGGGGCGGGGGGTAGGGGACTATACTTCCTTAAATAAGCCTTACGTCATTGAAAGGGGTATTAAGGCCCCCTTCCCCCCCCGAAGGGTCCTTATGGGCGGCTGCTTCGCAGATCTCGAGATTCAGGGCTTCAGGCTTAGAACTTCGGATTTAAGGTCAAGATTTGGGTTCAGGCTTTAGGGTGTAGGGTTTTAGGGTTCAGGATTTAGGGTTTAGGGTTCAGGATTCAAGCTTTAAGGCTTAGGTTTCAGGATTTAAAGTGATTTAGTGGTTTAGGACTTGGTGTTTAGGGCTTGCGGCCGGACGAAGGTATTTACCTTAAGTCACAGAGGTATTATTTTACGATGACCTCAGGGGCACTCCTCAAATACACGGCTTTCGAGTCTCTAAGCTCGGTCAAGTTCAGGATGTATGCCGGGATTGGGCTTCTGATAGCATGTTCACGGGGCTTGATAGGTTGCTGTCAAGGTTCAAAATGTGTCAATGTATGCTATAGTCAAGCTACTTACGTTCTATCTCCCCACAAGCCTCTAAATGGGCTCTATTTTCCCTATGGGTGATTGTCAAATTTAGGGTCCCTTTTTGGGTCGTCAATATAGTACTGCACCCAATATTTAGGGTACCCAAAAAGGGACCATAATTTTGACAACTAGCCTTATGAGCCTCTAAGTGGGGTGGGGGTTCAAGTTCAGGGTTGGGCAGCTGTTGGTGCTTCGGATTACGGCCGAGGATTTTGGACTTAGGGCTTGAAACTAAGCCCAATACCTAGAGGCTAAGGTTAAAGGGTTCCAAGATTACAGTTAAGGGTTTAGGGTTCAGGGTTTAAGGATTACAGTTAAGGGTTTAGGGTTTCGGGTTTAAGGATTACAATTAAGGATTTAAGCTTTCGGGTTTAAGGTTTACAGTTAAGGACTTAGGCTTTGGGGTTTAAGGTTTACAGTCAAGGGTTTAGGCTTTTGGGTTTAAGGTTTACAGTCAAGGGTTTTAGGCTTTAGGGTTTAAGGTTTACAGTTAAGGGTTTAGGCTTTAGGGTTTCGTCTTCCGCTACAGCTATGTACTTCTAGGATACCGCTACTTGGGCTCCCTTTTCTGTGGTTCCAGGTTGGATCCGGCTGAGGTCTGGGTAGCCAGTAGGTTCCGCCCCAACCCAAAGGGAGTGCAACACCGTTTGGAGTTCGGGGTATAGGGCAAACCCAAGGAAAACAGTGTTTAAGGCTTCAGGGTTGTAACGCTTTAGAGTGCAGTCTCAGTTCGTGCCTATACCCTATACCCCTACCCGTATCCATGGTAACCCGCATCGTAGAAGCCACTGTGCTAACACTAGACTAGACCCTTTGTAGCAAGCCTAAACCCCAAGGACGAATTCCCAAACCCGAAACCAAGCACTAACAAGCACAGGAACATAAACAAGCTCGCATACCCTAAACCCTACACACTCGTGAATAGGAACCCCACAAAGAAGGCACCCTCACCTATCTGTCCTGTCTTTGTTTGGGATAGAAAGTAGGTAGCTTGACTATAGCGTACATTGACCTATTCTAAACCTTGACAACAACCTATCAAACCCCTTGAACATGCTACCTGAAGCCCAACCACCCTAAACCCTAAACCCTAAACCCTAAACATCCTGAACATGACCGGCAACTTAGAGCCTCGAAGGCCGTGCTTCAGTGCCCCTGAGGTCATCGTAAAAAATACCTGTCAAAAATGCCCCGCAACGCAAGAATCCCGAAACCGTCTAAAACCTTATGGAACCCTCTAGCACCCCTATACATCTCTTTACAGAAGCCCTCGTAGAACCCTTACAGATCCCTTTAAGGAACCCCTTATAGAACCCCGCCCTAAACCCAAGTCCGGCGTCCCAAACCCGTTATCCAGGCACCGGCACGTCGGAGCAGGGCACAGGAGGCTTCGTCATGCACTGATTGCCCAAGTTGGGCCCAACCTCTTTGCCCACTAAGTCGAAAGCTATCGGGTTTGGAATTTAGGGTGTAAGGTTTTAGGGTTTAGGGTTTAGGATGTAGGAATTTAAGGTTTAGAGCTTTAATGGGATTTAAGGGTTTAGGTTTGGGGTTATTCGGGTTTTACACCGGTCTTAACAGTCTTAACAGCTGGGCTAGTATCTTCCATGAAGTTCGGGCTCAAATGGGTCCACTGCCGTATTCGTATAGCAAGAGTGGCATACGCTGTCAGGCACGCGAACAAGCGCAGCAATCACCCCTAAACCACACACCTGCAGGACCTGCTCTGGGCCTTACCAGCGGCAACTACAAGGTTCCTAAAGGGACTAAGGGGTTCAGGGGTTTAGGGTTTAGGGTTTAGGGTTTAGGGTTCAGGGGTTTAGGGTTTAGGGTTCAGGGGTTTAGGGTTTAGGGTTTAGGGTTTAGGGTTTAGGGGTTTGGAGGTTGAGGGTTTTAGGGGTTTAGGGTTTAGGGCTTTAGGGCTTAGGAGAGAATCTCGGGCATTGCCTTACAGTACACAAGAGTTCAACAGCATCCAAGACTCCTTGATTAAGGCTCCCTGGGATGTAGGGGGTTTGGCGGTACCCTAAGGGAAGCGCTGCAATTCATTTCGGCTTCTAAACTGTAGACGGCTTCTCCATAAGGATTGAACCCCTAAACCTTAAACCCCTAAACCCCTACAAACCGCTTAAACTCCTAAACCCTAAGGCCCCCTAAACCACTAAACCCCAACCCATTTGTCCTGCAGGGGCCTAGGTAGTTCGAGAGCGGTTTTGGTGAGAGGGTTTCCAAGGATGGGGGACGCTAATGAAAGTAGGATCCCTATTTAAGGACCCAAATAAGGTACCCCTAATTTTCGGAAACTCCCGTGTAGCTTTGAGTAGAACCATACAGGGACCATGCGGGTATAGTCTCGCCAAGCCTTGTAACCTCTGTATCGCAAGTTAACTATTAAGGGTTAAGGGTTAAGGGTTTAGGGTTTAGAGTTGTAGGGGTTAACTATTAAGGGTTTAGGGTTTAGGGCTGTAGGGGTTAACTATTAAGGGTTTAGGGTTCAGGGCTGTAGGGGTTAATTATTAAGGGTTTAGGGTTGTAGGGTTAACTCTTGCAAGGCTCCCTGAAACCAACTGGAGCTGGATGAGCGCTGCTGTTACGCTGCCAAGCATCCGCGATCGATTGCTTCGTGCTTCCCATGGCTTTATCCATGCGGGATCCTTCTACGACTCGAAAACCTGGAATACGCCACGGCGAAGAGAGGCAAGGAGCTTAATACATGGTCTTAGCAATTAGACTGGGGGTTGCTGGTAGAATAGATAAAAAAAAAGTCTGGAGGACAGTATATAGTAACGTACAATGATTTTAAGGAGCCCTGAGGAAAAATACTGGTGATTGTTGGAGTCCCTAAATGGGCAAGTTGGGGTGTGGAGTTAGGGCTGAGGCTTGGGAGTCGGGTCAAGCTCTTGGGGGTGCCTTCCAGCGCTGCGGATTTAGCGACTGGGCTCCTTGGTTTGAGGCTTCAGATTTCCAAGTTGCGGGTGAGGCCATACTTTACTTGGAGGCCCAGGGGACTTAGTAAGTAGGTTATAAGTAGGGTTATAGTTGGGGTAACTCCATTTAGGGTACTTAGAACCCCACTTACGAAGTCCCCTGGGTCTCTAAGTACTTTAGGATCTTTGCTGAAAGCGAAGATAGTAGATGCTGGGCCAATACGGTGGCCCTGAAAATTAGAGTAAGGCTTGAGGTGTATAGCATAGTACAACAAGATCGGGACGAGTAGGGTATAATCATGAGTACTGCTTATTCAGATCCCCACCTTCATTCAGGAATGTTGCTTAAATCAACCGAAGTATGGTTCTGGAATATTGGTGAGTGTACACTGTGGGTGTTTTAATGCTAATACTAGTAACAAGAACCCTACTTGGTGCCCTACTTCAGTGGGGGTCAAAGTGGAATGTACGAGATGATCCTCGCTTCCTCAAAGGTGTCGTGGAAGATCAAACTCAAGCATGCCTTGTGAATTCCCGCTAGAGGGCAACACCCCTCTCGGCGCAAGACGTTAAAGTTCGGCATAGTATATAGGAACCGCTGTGGATCCCTCAAATAGGTCCCTATTATGGTAACTTGAGTAGGATTCCGAAACCCTAAACCCTCATTCGCAAATTTGGGCGAACACATGCACGCTGATCCACTCCCGGAAGGCTCTACAACCACCTCTTACGACATCCTGGGATCCTCCAAGTAAAGCTTTGCCCTGCACCCCTACGTAGAGTTTAAGGTCTAGTGGTTCAAGATTAGGGTTTAGGGTTTGGGGTTTAGAAAGCCTTACCTTCACCTACGCGGTTCCTTTCTTTGTGTACTGGGCCTCTTTACTCTAGGGTGCTAGCTATAACGTTGGCTTGTCAGAAGAAGGACCGACCCTGGTATACGCCCCCACACCTCATGTCCAAGATTCAGGGTTGGTCCGCTTAGCCCCAAAGCAAGAAACGCCTTCAGCAAGAGGAATCCACATCACAGGAGGATTGGGCTCTCTGGATTGCTAAACCCTTAAGTTTGGGCCTGAATAATTAGAATGGGGTTTGGGGCCCATTATACTATGATTATAATAAGGACCCCCCAAAAAAGCATAGGTAATTGTCTAGGCCCCTATAGTAATTCCCTTTTTTCCACTGCGCTGGTGGCCTTCGTTGTAGAAAAGGCTTGTGCACACACATGCGAGGCACCCCACGTGCAGTGGTGAGGCTAGAAGCACTTCGCGGCATCCTACAAAGCATCCCAATTTTCCAAACTAAATTAGGCAATGCACCTTCAAGCCATACAATATAGCAAGAATGCCCTCTGCAACAGGAGGTAAACTTCTTCATTTAGGGGTCTTTCGAGGCCTCCTTTGTTGCTTCATCAAGTGTGTGCGTGCGAGTGCTATGGGCTTCGGGTCCCCGTGCTTGCAAGGACCTTAGAGGTCGGCCCTAGACCCCTTACCTTAAACCCTAAACCCTAAACTAAATGCAGGGTCCCTGGAAGCCTAGGGTACGGCCTCCATGGAGCTGTGTCTACGTAAATTCAGAAGCCTGAACAGTTAAAACGCCGGTTTATTGGTCTGGCTTCTGGGGGAGCTTAGGGCTTATGATTTCTTTAAGGGATCTATGGGGCATCTAAAACGGTTTAGGGTTTAGGGTGTAGGGTTTATGGTTTAGGGTAGGGTTTGGGCTCTGGGGGTGTAGGGTTCAGTGATCAGAGGTCTAGGATTTAGGGTTGAGGGGTTGTGGGATTAGGGGTTTGGGAGTTGTTGTTCAAGGTTCTTTCGTTGCTTACTTTTCGGGATTTACACTTCGGGCGTTCAGGGTTTAGGGTTTAGCGATCATTTGCCTAGGGTTCAGGGCCGTGGGTGCAGCAGCTCGTCATGCTCGAGTACATACTCGAGGCTTGAGTAGTAAAAGTGCCGCGAAGTGATTCAGAACAGTCTGCAATGTAAAAATTATGTCTTTCGCGTACTGGACAGACATAAGAAGTGGGCAGTTCTCGAAATTAGGGTCCATGTCTCGGCCTTCCCTTTCTCGTAAGAGGGGCATTTTCTCTTGCGCGTTCAAAATGGGACCTAATTTAGAGAACTCCCGAAGCCCCCCCTGTGCTCTGTGGGACCAAGGATCGTTGCACAGAGCTCTTCGTCGTGTGGAGCTTTACAACTCCGGAACACTCTGCTCCAGCATTCGACTCGCATGAGTAGACCCCCTGTAGAGGTTGATGTTAGGTGTCTGTAGAGAGGTTTGTAAAGGATCGAAAACAATCTAAACCCCGGCAGGGCACGCTGCTGAAGTCCTACGTCTTGAATCCTACGAGAGTGTGAAACCCACACCCTGCAAAAAGCAAGAACGCACACACACACACACACACACACACAGACATAGCCTGAAGCACAACACGCTAAACAAACAAAATCCCACAGCCCGAAATTGTTGGAAACCCTAACATCTCTAGCCCCTAAACCCTAAAACCGCCAAAGCAAACACCGTGTAAGAACCCTCACACCCTGATAAAGTAAGTCACCGTAAATTCAATAGTGACTGAACCTCACAGGAACACTAAAAGGATAACCCTCATAGAACACTCGCTGTCGAAGCTGCTGCAGCATGCAGGCAGGATCTCACGCATCCACTCTGGAGCGAGGGCTTAATGTAAAAGCCAGAAAGTTGGAATATGATTATCCTAAAGCCTTTATGGTAAATTACAAGGTATCCTTCCCTGAAACCATATTCCAACTTTCTGGAGTTCCCTTTAGGGTATCGAGTTTAGGGTTCAATCTGGTTTAGGCTTCAGTGCTTGGAGTTTCGGGTCCGAGGCTTGGGGTTTCTGGTTCGCGGGAATATCTCTGGAGGATTTATGCAGTACTGGAGAAGGCACTGCTACGGTTGATGATATAAATCCTGCAGTACCTTAAGGACCCTAAACTATGGGAGTTATGGTATATTCCTTATTATTGGTCATGCAGGATTTATATCATCAACCGTAGCTTTTTTGGCCTAAGGTTGCTCTAGGCTCTAGGGACAAAAGGGGTGCCAGAGAACAACATATATGCAGACCTCTAGGTGATCTTGCACCCTCCGCGCCAGTAGCTGAGGAGCCTGTCGGCACACCGTCACGCCGTCAATGAAAGCCCGCTTCGGGCAAATCGAACGTAAAATACTAAAGCCAGGGAGGGACAGCAAACTCTGTGGGGTGGGTCCTCGGATTTAGGGTTCGGTAGTGGGGGCCGTACGACGCAGATGGAAGTTCTAGAGAGAATCAGCGGCCACAGAACAAAACCCTAAAGAAGCGGGAGCCCGGGTACCCTCAATCTTGAGAAATCACTGGTTGAGCAGGCTCCTGGAACCCACATCCTAATCCCTGCTCAAGACATCTTGAGATGCTACCCTAAACCCTAAACCCTAAACCCTGAACCCTAAACCCTAAACCCTCAATGTAT